AATGACAACAAGAGCCGGAACAAGCAGAAGAACAAAACGAAGAACAATAACATGAATAAGAAAGTAGAATCAGAAACAACAAGAACAACAAGTGGAACAACAAGAACAAAAAGAACAAAAACAACGAACAACAAAGAACAATAACAAGAATAGCAACAAGAACAAAAAGAGCACAAATCAGAAGAACAAGAAAACCAACAAGAACAAGACTAACAGGAAAAGAGCAACGAGAAGTAGCAGAAGAAGAAGTAGAGTAGACCAATCCCAAGAACGAAAACAATAACAAGAACTTCAACATCAATAAGAGTAGTAAGATAAGACAAAAATAAACAGAAAACAAGAACACGCGGCAGCAGCAGCAGCGGCAGCAACAGCAGCAAACCACTGTGACAACAAGAACCCACAACGGCAAGCACTGTCATAACAAGCCTCGACCATACACCCTACTTCCTATTCCTGTTGATCTTGGGCTGGCATTCTTAGCTTCCCATGGTTCTTCCTGTCCGCTTTCAACAGCCTAACGGCGGCGCTTCATGTTCACTTCACATGTCGCTCAAATATTGGGGATCCCTTGCTGCAACCATGCAACATGGCCTGATATCCTCTTGGGGGGCCATCTTGGGCGAGCCCTAAACCTGATTCCGTTGCTGCCGCACCTTGGGAGAGTAGCTTCCACGAAATGGCGAACCACCGAGTAGTCAGCTTGCCCTTTCGAGGAAAACACCCACGACCAAATGTTCCCCAAAATCGGGGCCCAAACAATGGTTTGCCCTTAGGCCAAAACGGTTTCCGGCAGGGCGCCAATACATGGCATTCCCTTCATCAACCCCCCAACCCCCCACAAGCCCCCCAACCCCCAACCCCCCCAACCCCACCGCTGCAGCTGCAAGGGTCGATTCCAGGCCGATCCTCGCGGCCCAGGCCGGCGTCTTCTGCAGGCGCCGGCTGGCTTCCTCGGGTCTGACACAAAAAATGTCTCAAGGGCAGCACCTGAAGGGCGGCCCTAAATCTGGGTAGTCAACATGGGGATTACGCCAGCATAGACCCCAGATAGCATACCATGGCTACAAACCATGACGCAGCGTTATAATGGTGCTATTTTGATCGGTTGCTCTTAAACCAAGGTGAAACGCGGTACCCTCGTTTAAAAAGGAAAACTCTAAATAAGAGGATCACAAACAATAGTGGTGCCCTATTGATTGTTTCCTCTCAAGCCAAGGTGAAAAGCAATAAACCCTCGTTTAAAAAAGAACAAGGACAACTCTAAATAAGAGGATCACAAACAATGGTGATGTCCGTTTGACCGTTTCCTCTTAAGCCAAGGTGAAAAGCAATAAACCCTCGTTTTAAAAAGAACAAGGAAAACTCTAAATAAGAGGATCACAAACAATAGTGGTGCCCTTTTGATTGTTTCCTCTCAAGCCAAGGTGAAAAGCAATAAACCCTCGTTTAAAAAAGAACAAGGACAACTCTAAATAAGAGGATCACAAACAATGGTGATGTCCGTTTGACCGGTTCCTCTTAAGCCAAGGTGAAAAGCAATAAACCCTCGTTTTAAAAAGAACAAGGAAAACTCTAAATAAGAGGATCACAAACAATAGTGGTGCCCTTTTGATTGTTTCCTCTTAAGCCAAGGTGAAAAGCAACAAACCCTCGTTTAAAAAAGAACAAGGAAAACTCTAGATAAGAGGATCACAAACAATGGTGATGTCCGTTTGACCGTTTCCTCTTAAGCCAAGGTGAAAAGCAATAAACCCTCGTTTAAAAAGGAACAAGGAAAACTCTAAATAAGAGGATCCCAAACAATGGTGGTGTCCTTTTGATAGTTGCCCTTTAAGTAATTCAAGCCAAGGTCAAACCCTCGTGGATTGATCGAGGGTGTTTCCAAGAGTGCAGAGCAAGCAAGGGCTTCTGACTCATGAGTTCCCATTACAATTTGAGCTACGGGTTGTGACCTTCTGGCTTGAGTTGACTGGCCAGCAATAACTGGCACCTGTCGGCCCTAGACTGACATGGAGAAATCTGGCCACCAGTTTGGGAACTGATGTAAAGCACCGCCCGCTGACTCTCAGTCCATAGTCTCGCTGTCCAACAAGGTTTCCTTTTGATCGCTGAAAGCTCTAGGCTCCTTTGGCAGGCCAAACAAAAAGATCGCCAGCCCAATCTCGTCCACTCAGCCAAAGGTCGGAGACACGGCCGTGCTCTTGCAAGAATGCGTGAAAGCGATTTCGAAGCTCACCCAGCTCAGCCTGCCGCAAGGATTCGGCCACAGCTTCAAGCCGTGGCAGGGAGGGGGGGGTCCCAAAATTGGAGACCTGTCTTTGGACAGCAAAGAAGGGAAAACGAAAGGACACCCCCCGTTTTAAGGCCATCTGGACACCCGCCATGTAAAGCTCAACAAAAGTGACGCAAGTCGGAACGCTGCCAAGCGTGCCAATCACAGCCTCATCATCTTCGTCGTCCAGGCTCGTGCGCATGCCGCTGGCAATGTCGTCTCGCTTTCCTTTGTGGCAAGAAGTGCCGACTTTCCGTCCACCAAAAAAAAATGACTGGAGAGACTCATACGCATGCTGCCTCACAATGATGCCCACTGAGACAAAGAGTAGCCCCATCTAAAACGGGCGATTGGCTCTCGATTGGGTAACACGGATGGCGGTGTGGACTGTGTTGGCATACTTTTCTGGCTTGCCCTCCAAACGCGACGGCGGACCCACCCCCTTTTTTTCGGAGCCTCCGCAGGAAAAAAATGAATAAACCTCCGAGCTGCTCGCAAGGAGCTCCAGCAACTGGCACTTTCGGCTCAAAACGGTGTCCAGCTTCTCCAATCCTCGATACGGATGAGTTTGTTGGGTCAGCCCTCTGGGGGGTTCGTGGTTGTTTTAAAGCTGCTTTTTGGGCTTTTGGGGTGGGGCTCCGGGTGTTTGCTGTTATGGATTGTTGAGGGTGCCAAAAATTGTGGGGGCGGCTTAAAGGGGGATTGGAAGGGAGACCTGGGTGCTTACGTTTCCCGAGGGTTCCGAAATGGTTGGGAGCTTAAAAGGGCATTGATTGGGAAAGAACACATGTTTTTGGATACGCGAAATGATACCTGGCCGAGCCCTTCCCAGGGTCGGACCTTTGTTTGGGCCGGACTTAGAATTGACCCCCTGTACAGCTACTCCCAAAATGGAGTAGCTCCTTCATGAGCCCTTGCATCTTTTGAAAAGAGCACAGGTTGTGCAAAGAGAGGTATACCCCTCGAGCTATTGAGGGATGTGTCCAAATGTTCCTCCCAAGGAAAGGCGGCCATCAGACATGTCTCTCCTGGTTGTTCTAACCACAGTCAATATTTGTTGATATTCCACCTGACATGGGAGTTTGGTTTCCTGTTGAACTCCTGGTACATCCCCACCGCTGGCACCGCACACATCAATGTGGCAAACCAATTCCAAGCTCAGTCTTTCTGTGGGTTCCACTTGGCTTCTTTGCAAATCCACTAAATTCGATCCCGGGTGTGCTTGGCCGGGTGGTTGGCCAAGTCGTTGGTTGGGTGGTTGGCTGGTTGGACGATCCTTTGGTTAGGAGTCGCTTGCAAAGAAATGTGGCGCGGGGCTCCATGCCTTCGCGCCTCGACACAAGCCAAAGCCGAGCGTCGCTTCTTCTCCAGAAGGTCCAGCCTCAATCAGGCGGTCAGATTGGGCGGGTCCAGTCCTGGGGGTTGATAGGTCAGAACACAGGGATCCTTATAAGGCTCTGATCTGTTATAGGGAACCACCTCATGAGTACTTGGTGGACATGACTCTTCAAAGCACCACATTGGTGCTACTGGTACCTTAATCGCGAAACGGTGCATCCTTTACGCCGCATAAGGATTAGTGCCAAAATGGGAGGATTGCCCAGCTCCACTGTGGTTCTGCCGTCCCCATCCTTGTTCCGCCGAGGATGGCCGCCACCTGGCCTGTCCCCCCCCTGTGTCAGGGCCCTCGGCACCTGCAGGAGGGGGCTTCTGTGCCTGCTTGGGGCGTTTGCGCCCCTTCTCGCCCCCCCGGGCCTTCACCTGAGGCCTCCCGGGGGGTAGGGGTCAGCGCCCCTAGTCAACCCGGGCAGTCCTGCGGGAGGTGGTCCCCCAGGCAGATGCGGCCCATTGCCAGGATGAGGTTGCACTTGTGGGTGCGGCCGCAGTTGCCCGGGCAGCGCCCGCGCATCCAGTTGTTACAGAACTGGTTCCCTTTCGGGTCGGTGGCTGCCTGCTTGTTACCGCCCCGGGACGCCTGATTGTTCGGGTGGGGGGTCTTACCCTTCCCTTTGTTCCCAGGCTTGCCCTTGGACTTCCCCTTGCCCTTGGACTTGTTCTTGCCCTTCTGAGGTGGTGCGTAGTCCATGGATGTCCTGGTTGATGGGCGGCCCCTGGAAAAGGTCTTGATCTTCTCATAGACCTCACGTGTCCAGAACAATGTGTCCTGCCTGACCGACAGCATGGCCGCCTTGAGGGTGTTGCCCTCATGCATCTTCTCGTGAATCTTTCGCCATGCGTTGCGTTCGGCAATTGCCAGGACGTGGTCCTCTGGCGGGGGAAAACGGCCCCCGATGTCCTCACCATAGAACCACTCGTACCAGCTCTCCAAGTCCTCCCGGGTGATGTCGAACTGGCCGAACTGCGGGAACGAGAGGACGCACATGAGGAGGGTGTTGCGGAACACCGCGTGCATCCTCTCGAGCTGGTGGCGAGTTTTGGGCTCGCCCCGCTCTTCCACCTCATCCTCCCGGTCCCAGCCATCAACCGTGCTCTTCTTAGTGGTCTTCCATGGCCGTTCTCCTGGCTCCGGGAGTGCGCTTACCAGGTATTTCATGGGGATGAAACCGATCTCGCCTCCTGCGCAGAGCTTGAACTGGCGCTTCACCAGCTGGTCGCTTCCTTGAAGGGCCAGCTTGGGTTTGGTGAGCTTGGTCTTCTCCTCCCAAACCCTCTCCAGCTGTCCCCGTTCGCACGAGACCGTGAGATTCGGGGCGGTGTCCCCGGGCGTGTGTGGCCCGGGTCCCGCTGTTGCATGCGCCCCAACTCCCATGGATCGTTGAGCCGCGTGAACCACCTGGAACATGCGGGCCGCGATCAGCCGGGAGGTCACATCCGTGTAGTGGTGGTTGTTGGGGGCGAAGCCCAACTCCCCCGGCGCCGTCTCCCTTGCACGGTCGGGCGAGTCCCACCGGGTCGCGAGGTCCTCCATCGAGACAAAGCCCTCATCCGACAGTGTCGCTTGGATGAACCACGGGATGCCCTTGAGGACCATGAGGTTCCTGGCGGTCTTGTGGAGCTTAGCCACTGCGTCCGTGTACACTCCAGGAACTTCCTGTGGTGGTGCCACCAACTCATCTGGTGTCGCCGCCATGGTGTGGGTGGGCGGGATTTCAAATCACAAGACAAAAGATCAAAAGGTCCACTTGAGCCAAAATGGTGGCCCAAGTGGATACTTATTAAGAGTCAAGACAAGCGACCACCTACGGTTAACGCTTTAGCCCAGACTCTTCAAAGCACCACATTGGTGCTACTGGTACCTTAATCGCGAAACGGTGCATCCTTTACGCCGCATAAGGATTAGTGCCAAAATGGGAGGATTGCCCAGCTCCACTGGGCAGCTCCCCTCAGCAGCTGATGGGAGTAGAATTGATGCCATCCCCAACGGACGGATCGCATCAGCTGCCAATACCAACGGACGAGCTGGTCGTTGGGGAGGTCCTCCCTCCACGTATGCCGTGTGGTCCCGCTGTCGCATTTCAGGGCCCTCGGCACCTGTGCGTCCAGCGGTCCGGCTGCGGTCCACCCGGGTGCGGACCCCGTCAATCCGCCGCCTGGGATGCCCGGGGACATCTCGGAACACTGGCCCCCTGGGATAGGGGTGAGAACCCTCGGCACCTGTGTCTCCCCCCTCCAGGCCCCTTCGGGGTTGCGTGTCAGGGCCTTCGGCACCTGCGCTCCCCGCTGGCCGCGGGGCTGGGCCCCTCAAAGGGCCGGGGAGGGCGTATCAGGGCCCTCGGCACCTGCGCCCTCTCCCCCTGCCTCCTTGCCTTGAGGCATGGGGGGAAGCGTGTCAGGGCCCTCGGCACCTGCGCTATCCACCCCTCACTCAATTTCCGGGAGGACGACCGCCTCCTTGTCCGACTGAGTGTCCACGCTCTCGTCGGTGTCCGAGGAGAGGGAGATGGAGGCCTCGGAGTCCTGTGCTGCGTAGGGCTCCACGGCCATCCACGTGTTCGGGAAGGTGAAATGCCGGAAACATCTGGTGCATCCCAGGTACACCTCCGGCTCAGCATGGAAGTCCTGCTCCGCCAGCTCCGAAATCTTGAGCGGTCCCGGCCTCCAGCCGCACCCCACTGTGACTCCATCTGTGTCCAGTAGGTGCATGCTGTAAGCTTTGGTGGGACCCTTTCGGGCCGTGGTGGCTACCACCGTCAGTGGACCCCGAGGCGGGGGCACCTCATCCGCAGCCATCTTGGTGATGGCCGGCTTGTTGGCGGGGATCACATCCCAGCTGGCATTCGAGGGCGGTGTGTCCGGGACTTCCTTGAACAAGGCCTTCGGTGAGGCCGGGCACTCCACCTTGTCCTCCCAGTCCTCATGTCCGAGGTCGACTCGGACCGCCCTTCCTGCCTCGAGTTGCATGGACGGGAGCTTCTGGAGGACCTGGTCCCAGATGGAGCACACCACGTGTCGCTTCTCCCGGGTGTAGACATCCGCCGTGGACTCCTTGAACCAGTTTCCCAGGTACTGGCGCTGGTCCCTCGGTATGTGCGCCTGGAATGCCAAATCCGGCATGAAGACCCGGAAGGAGTACCATGAGAGTTCAGCCACGTCCTTGACTGGCGCGCCCTGCTTCCCCAAGGCGTCTTTGAGCCACCTCAGGGACCTGTCTGGGGTTCCTGGGCGGGGGATGAAGCCCGTCCTGTCCTTGTTGATCGTGGGGATCAGGTAGTCCATCTCGCGGAACTCCTCCGAGGCCCTGAATCTCTTCCACCACCGCTCCAAGGGGATCCACCATCTGGCCCCCGAGAAGGAGAACAATGGGGCGATGAGCGGGACCGGGTTCCGTTTGATGGCCACTGCCGACGTGGTCTTCGTTTGCCAGGCCAGCAGCTCCAGGGTGTTGCTCGTGGACTTGACCGTCTGCGGCGAGGTGTGCTGCACGTCGTTGAAGCGCGCACTGCAGGCCAGGTTGAACCTGGCCATCGCCATGATGTACCTGTCCACTGCTTTGGTCAGCTCCGGGACCCGGTTCTCCGGCGGGGCCCCTTCTGCCCCTTGTTCCAGGGCCCAAACAATTGCCCGGGTCGGAACCACCGCCTTGCGCTGTGGCTTGACCTGGGTGTCCACCAGCGTCTCCTGGATGGCTTTCCGCTTCTCCAGGAGTTGTTTGTGTTCGTCAACGTTGAGCATGCCGAGTTTAATGGAGAGCCACTTTAAAGTGCCCCACCACTTCTGGAGCTTCGCCGGGGTGACCTCCAACGTGACCGCCTGGTTCATGAGGTGCCGGACGTCGCCGGCCGTCCAGGGGAGGTTCTGGAAGCCGATCTTGCGCATGCCCTCATAGGCCAAGCAGTGTGCCCGGATGGTACGGAACCGGGCATCACCAAAGAGGTGGCCAAACTCCTCCAGCTCCCTGGCCCCCATCACCTGGTGCATGTAGGGGATCTGGTGCCGGAAGGGGATGAAGTATCCCAGGAGGCGTTCCAACCACCTGGCCCTCAAGTGTTGTTCCAACGCTCTCTGAGATGTCGGCAATTGGGTCTTGATCTTCCCTGGTTTCCAATGCCGCCACTTGTTGGCCACTGCCAGGACATCCGGGGCCTCAATCGATCCGGAAAGGATCCACTCTTCGCGGTCCCGGATGGCCTGTTCCATTTCCAGTGGAGAATAGGTGTGCGATTGCCTGGCGCCTGCCGCACGAAACAGAAGTTGTTGCAGGGTCTTAGTAGCGAGCTCCAAATCCGCCTCCTCCAGCGGTTGTGGTTGGGAGCCGAGTATCCTCGCGAGGATCAAGTTGTAGGTGTCCGAGGCCACCAGGACGTGGTTGCCGTCAGGTGCCAGCCCCACGATCCGTGTCCACGGCCGCGGGTCAAAGACCACCGCATCCGGGTTGGCGACCTTGTCCTTTTTGACCCATTCCAGGCAGCACGCCACGAGGATTTCCCCGTCCGACTGCACTGGTGCAAATCCAAGGTCATGCAAAATCAACTGGAGCGCGGTTGGCGCCCCTAGGAAGGTCGTCCCAAACGGGGAAGGGAGGCGGGGCCTCCACATCATCATGATCCACTCGAGCCGGGGGCCTAGTCCCTAGGTGCAAACCCCAACCAAACAACAGGGGGCCCCCCAAAACCCCGGAAAGTCAACCCCGAAACGGAGGAAACGGGGGAAAAAGGGGGACCCAGGGAGCCGCCCCGAAAAGGGAAAACCAAACAAGAGAGGGGAACCAAGGCGCACCCCGGATCAGCCCAAGCCGCGCCAATTTTCCTCGCCTGGTGCAAGTCTGGGCCTGCGCTGTTCCCTGGGGGGGGATATCAGCGCCTTCGGCAGCTGTCCCCCCCCCGGGGTGCGCTGCGCATCCGTTCCGGATGGCCGCGGTCCTGGATGGTGTGCCGGAAGATGGCGTTGTCCCGCATCATCACGCGGCCCCCTTCGCGATGTCATCGATGCGTCTGAACCTGGGCACCTTCTGGTCCACGATGGAGACGTCCCGCAACGGGGCCGAGGGCTCCACCCGGCGGTAGTACTCCAGCCGCTCCTTCACCCAGCGGTTGTAGAGGCCCTCCGGCGGCTCGTCCAACACCAGCTGCAAGATGGCCTTGCCGGCCCGGATCTGGAGGAGGCGGGTGCCCCCTCCCCCGGCACGCCAGTACCCCTTACAATACTTGCACATGTAGCCCCCCCGGGTCTCCCCTTTTGTCTTCGGGATGAGTTCCCACGGGGTGACGGAGCTCAGGACCAGGCCACACTCCATGTGCGCCCAGAAGACATGCTTCATCTCCACCGGATAGTTCTTCTTCCGGTAGTCCTTACCCACCACGCCGTGGACGTTGTCCGCCGTGATGGGGGGGTAAACGATCCCCTCATCGCCCTCGCCTCCCCTGGGGCGGATGTCAGGGCCATCGGCACCTGTCCGGCACCCAGGGGCGGAGGGGTCCAGGCCCATCAGCTTGATCATGTCGTTGGTGTAGCCGAGCTTGCGGTAGATGGAGGGGGCCACTGAGTCGGGGACTGCGCCGACCCACCACTGCTTCGTGTTGCAGCGCCAGTTGACCTTCACCTCCGCCAGGGCCCCCGGGCCTCCAATGCGGTCCATGAGGGCCTTGTACACCTCTGGGAACTGCTGGAGGCTCTCCACCGGGACCGAGATGCGCTCGTCGCATACCGCCCGCAGGATCATCTGCTCCTTGGAGTCCGCCACGTCCTGGACCGGGAGCTGCATCACCTCCGCCGGGGTGTCCGTGAGGAAGGCCCGGGCCGCGAGGACCTTGCCCATGGCCCGGTAGACCAATCGCCACTCCGGTCCTGTCTGCGGAAACGGAAGGCCCTCCTCCTTCAGGAAGCACCGCGCGTCCTCCTTCAGGGTCTCCCAGCCCTCCAGGCGGGTCTGATTCTGGGCCTTGTTTTTCGGGCCCCGCTGCCTAGGGCCCTGCAGCAGTGGCAGAGACTCCCAGACTCCCCAGAGCTGGCGCAGGGTGTAGCTGTGCCCGAACATCCCCAGTAGGCCTGGGAGTGTCCAGGACGAGATCTGGCGCGTCCAGTGGAAGTCCTCATCCGGATCGTGGGGGGCAGCCCAAAAGATGGATCGCAGGTCCCCAGGGTAGGGTCGGTCCCCCGCCTTCGCCTGCTGGTGCAACTCATCAACGGAGTACCTGGCCCAGGGGAGTCCACCCACCTGGTGGTTCCTGGGATGCGTACCCTTCTCCAACGCCTCCGGATTCACCTTGGTGAGGTTTTTCGCCCAATCCGGGACGTGTACCGGGCCCGGTCGTCGGACCCAGCGGCCCGCAAAGATACGGACCTCTCCGACCCGTTTGCTCATCATCCAGCGCAGGACCGAGAGCTGCACCTCCGGGTCCTTGGTGTCCAGGCCCACCGGGGTGGCGGACGGCTTGTCAGGGCCCTCGGCACCTGAGCTCGTCACGCCAGAGCCCGAGGCTGGGGGGATGGTGGGCGGCCTGTCAGGGCCCTCGGCACCTGGGCGCGCCGCACCAGAGCCCCCCGCCTTTGGCATGGGGATCCCTGTCAGGTCCGGCAGATCTGACAGGAGGGCCGCCGGGAAGGGATTCCTACCCAGCGAGATGACCGCCTTGGCCTCAAGGTAGGAGTCCGGAGGGATGTGAGGTCGTCCATACTGAAGTCCCTCCATGCCGTTGTCGGCTCGAAGACCCCAGTCTCAATGGCGACCCGGACCTCCCTAGGCCACGCACTGAAGGGAGGCGCGATGGGCTCGAGCATTCTGGTTTCGAGGGAGCCCTTCGCCTGTCTGGCTTGGTGTTTCGCTTTCGCCTCCTCCGCAGTGGTCTGGGCCTGGAGGAGCTCCGGTGTGGGTCTCCCCCAGTCCGCACCCAGCTTGTCCAGCAGCTTCTCACGGAAGAGGTCCAAGTCCAGGTTCTTCAGGAGCAGGCCTCCATCACCTCCTCCGTCAATGGCCCCCCCTTGAAGTTCGTGGAGGACCGCCGCGGAGCGCTCCACCGCTTCCACCTGGTCCGCCTTCTTGGCCTCCTCCTGGGCGATGGTGGTGGCGTTGAGCCGGGTCTGAATCTTGAAGGCCTTCACCGCAGACGGGTGGAAGGCTCTGCATTCCTGGCCCTCTTCCTTGTCGCCTGGCAATGGGGGCCTCTCCCCCGGTGGGGCCGTCAGAAACTCCTCGTCCAGCTCCATGGGGCAGTTCCTGATCACCGCCCGGACCGAGGAGGGGACGAAGTCCGAGAAGCTGGCCTGGTCCGGGTTCTCGCAGGCCATCGGGTCGGTGGCCAGCTCGCTGACGTCCACCGAGGCACTGAGCTTGAGGTCGCGGGCCCGGTCCGTGTCAGGGCCTTCGGCACCCGCGGACCGGGCCGCCGTCCAGACCGCATTGCCCTGGTCATCCACCGTCAACTGCCAATGCGTGCCCGCCATCTCCAGGGTGGCCGAGTTGGTCGCCGTGTCAATGGGCTCCGTCTTCTTGCCGCACCCCATGCACTTCGTGGCGCCCTTCTTCACCCAGGGCATGGTGCAGCAGGGGCAGATCCAGGATGTGGGCACCTTGCCCAGGGGGCGGTTCTCCAGGCCCCCGTACCCCAAGCCAGCGCGCTTGCCAACCTGCTGTCCCGGGGTGCTGAGCCGGGCCTCATGCTCGTACTTCATCTTGGCGATGTAGAAGGCCTCCACAACGCGCTCCAGGCCCCCCTGCTTGAGTTGGGGGCCCTCAAAGCCTCGCAGGAGCCGCTGGACGTCCTTGGCCTGCAGTCGGCGGAGCCTAGTGGCCGTGGTCGCATCGAAGCAAGGGAAGTCGCCCGCCATCTGGTCGTCGCTGAACTGGTAGAGGCCCTCCGAGACCTTGAGGGCCTTGGTGAACACGCTCCCCCCCGGCGGGGGGGCTGCGGGGTTCTCATCCTCCTCCGAGGACGCCTGCTCCTTGACCTTCGCCATCAGCTCCCGGCGCCTCTGCCACTTGGCGTCTGCCCGGGCATCCAGGCGGGCCTCCTCCAAGCGGGCTGCAGCCGAGGGGACCTGGGCATCGGCAGCTCCTTCTCGTCCTTCGCCAGGAGCTCCTCCATGGGCACGTCCTCCTCCGGCGGGTTCAGGAGCTCCAGGAACGCCCCTGGGGGGCGTGTCAGGGCCTTCGGCACCTGCGCCACCCCAGGGGCTGCATCTTCCATCGGCTCATCCTCTGCCTTGCGCTTGGCCGGGATAAGGGGGGCCTGCTCCAGCTCATCTGCGCTGGAGAAGAAACGCTCGTCAGGTGCCTGAGGGACCTCAGCAGCCAAAACGGTCCATCCTTCTTCCTCCCTCTTCACGAGGCTCGCCAGGTACTTTGCCATGGAGGCCTTTGCCTTAGCCTTGGCCTCTGCTACCGCGGCACCAGCGTAGGCGGGGGCGTACATGGCTTTGAGAGTAGGGGAAAGAAAGATTTCAAATCACAAGACAAAAGATCAAAAGGTCCACTTGAGCCAAAATGGTGGCCCAAGTGGATACTTATTAAGAGTCAAGACAAGCGACCACCTACGGTTAACGCTTTAGCCCAAAATCCCCAACTAATGTCCACCAGGCGTATGTGCCTAAAACATGACCCCAAAAGGAAACTCATGTTAAAGTGGCCCGGATTGATGCTAAAATCAACCAAACTGGCAAACACTGAAGCTGCGTTGCTTCCCTACAAAAGCCGGGTAAAGGGAAAATTGGGGAGGGGGGGCCAGTCCATGACTCCAAGCTTTTTGGGCTCACTCTACCCAAAAATTCTTCACCAACCCCCCCCCCAAGTCGGCCTTCTCCTTGATTTGGGGTTTCAAGCGGCTTACCCGGCTCCGACCCCCCTGCATCTGTCTTGGGATTGGAGCTCAGGCGCCGGCAGGGTGCTCCTCAGCACATCCGGATCCACCCCTTTAGCCTGAAGGCGTTGTCGAAAGCGGAGAATCCACGGGATGAGATTGCTATGTAAATGACGTCCACAAAAGGGTCCCCAATTAAAACAACATAAGCCCGAGTTGGACATCCGATTCCCATGACGACCCCCATCTCGTGTTCTCAGACACCCGACACCACGGTGTGTGCTAACGGTGTGTGCTAACCTTTGGGAAGCTTGTTTAGGGGACCGGCCATGCTCTGCTTCGAGCTCGCAACACGGGCGATGTTCGACCATTTCACCAGTCGGTGCCAGTGGCTCCCTGACTGGCAAGGTGCGGCTTCTCCGAACGGAGAAGCCCCCCGGCTGAAGCCGCAAAACAGGGTTTTCGGTACCAACCAAAGCGTCGACATGCCCACTGGGCCTGCACAATGCCGAGCTTCTGGAACCTCTCGGCTTCCTGCCTGGCCAAAACTCCCCGAAGCCGTGACATCCCTCGTACCCCCGGAAGGGTCGGCTTGGCCTTTTCTCCAACGGAAACCCACCGTGTGGCAGGGCGTTCGCGGGAAACCTGGAGGTGAACCCAGCATAAGAATGGTCAGGCTTGACTTTCCACCTCCGGAGCACCCGTCAGGCTGTTCAGAAACCGCCCATGTTTCGTGAGTTGTGGAAAGAAGGACCCTGAACAGAATGGGGCGGGTGTGGCTAGCTAGGAGTTCTTGGAAACCTACCCCCACATCCCTTACTTGAACCACTTGATGTCCCAAAACGAAACTCCCAGGTTTACTCGCCCAGACACGGACACTTCTTGGCCGGCTGCGCGCCTGCCCTGAGCCAGGAAGGCGTGTAGCCGACGGCGGATGGCCTGCGCTGCGAGCGCATCCAACGTCCAAAACTTCCTGCTCCGACGACTTTTTTGGGCTGCATGGGCTTTAAATTCACCTTGAAATGGCTGTGGTTGTCAAACATAGGAACTCAAAATGAAACCCTGGTAAATGGAACCAAGGACTAAACCCTGCAGTCCCCTGGTTGAATTTTGACCCACAGCCAAATGATGTTCCCAGAAGATCTTTTCCAGATGAAAGGCACTCACAAAAAGCCCCCGAGGGCTTCGGGCCCCGACTCAAAAAGCAGAGAAGCTGCGCCTGCGTGGGCGTCGGTCTCGCGACCCGCCAAATGATCCACAACAACAATCACAGGCCAATGTAGAGAGGCGTTGGGCTCACGCATTTTGGAAGGGCGCTGGCCATGTACGTCACGATGCTTTTTTCCAACCAGCCTATGTTCCTTGCCCGCAGATTGTCTCATCCCCCATTTGCTGGGCAGGCGATTACTTAATATGATTGGACATCCCCCTGTCGAAGGTGTCTTTACAGCGGTTGAATCATAATCAAAAACGGGCATTATAATGGTCGACCCAGAACCATGTAAAGAATTGAAAAGGCGGCTGCAGCTATTTATGGTTGGGATTGTCCCCTACTAACCTTCACTTACCCGGGTTTTGATTCTGACTCAGTTGGTTTGCAACTTGCCAGGCTGCACACCTCGGCCATTGCCTGGGAAAACAAAGCCAGAATCGAGCGCCTTCGATTTGTTGCTCGATGCCTTCCCCACAGAAATCTGCGCAAATAGGATGTGAATAGGCCGAAAACGCCCAGAAGAACGGCTCCAGTCAGTTGCTCGCGCGTCGGCACTCTTTTTGCGCAGTCTTGTTTGCGCATCAGTGTTGGACATATTCCAAGTTCACAAAAGCTCAAAACTAGGTAGGGGGTTGTCATATTTTGGGGGGCCTCCTGTTTGTTGGAAAGTCAACCAACCAGCCATTTGAGGGTCCGCCCTCAAAATGGGTTAGACCGGGCTTGTGCCGTTAGTTGCCAGCTGGGACCGCCCAAACGAAGGACCCCTTAGCGGATGTTAAAGGGCAAAGTGTCCCCAGATTGTACGAACAAACTGCCGTCCTCATCCGTGTCCGGCGCAGGCTCGACAGTCAGCGCTGTCTCTGCTGTCGGTGCTGGCTCCTCCGTGCTGATACTCGCGATTACGGCCAAGTCTGCCAATCCCATGCTTGAGCGCGAGCTCTACACCCTGAACATTGAGAACCATGGTTCCAGGCTCCTCCACTTCGGCCACTGCTGAGTCGCCCGAAATGTCAAGCGCCGACTCTGCCTGCACCAGCGCGGCATCCGGCTCCACCTGATTAGCATTCGAGGCTTGGATCGAAACAGCGTCGCTGTGGTCGCAAACCCCCACCCGAACTTCTCAGTGGATCCCTGTTGCCAGCAAAACTTGCAAATCATGGATATCAGAAGAAACCCTGCTACGCAACTAACTAAAATGCCACATGCTCATGAGGGCAGTTTGACAGGGTGCTCCCTCAGCCAATGTCAGTCCTCCAACTCAGCCAAACACATCGACTCTGAATCAACAATGCATCAGAAACAAACGCTGTCCTCGTTGGTGTCGGGCACAGCTGGCTCCGCAGTCGCCGCTGCTTCCGCAGTCGGAGCTGCTTCCGCAGTTGGAGCTGGCTCCACAGTCGGCGCAGGATCTGCTGTCAGTGCTGGATCCTTTACAGGGCCATCAAAGATGTGCCAAAATAGCGTCCGAAAAGAAACCCCGAAGCGTGTGCGGCGCATCCCCAGAACACGTTTCATCTCACTCTGTCATGATCAGTCAGTGCAGAAGCAGAGTCTAGCCCGTGTTTTTTGGGGGAAGAGCTTTGGGGGGGGAGCTATGCTAAAACTTGCTTGGTCGGCCAAGCCTGACAATCCCCATGTTTACCCTCAAGCTCTACACCCTGAACCGGAAGTGTCGCCAGACTCCCACACCCAGGTTCCTGGCTCCTCCGCTTCGGCCACTGCTGGGCCGGACCCGAAACTTCAATAGCCCTACCCGAAATTCTGAGTGGATCGTTGTGTTGCTGGCAGAACTTGCAAAACTTGGATATCAAAAAGAAACTTGTTGCGCAACTGATTAAGATTGTCTTCTTCTTGCGTTAGGGGGAACCACGAAATTGTGTAAATACGCGCCCCGGGGGTCTCTGAGGGTTTGCCGCCAGCCCTCACCTCTTTCCGGGGACAAACTTCTAAATTGCGCAGAAAGGGTATTAAGGCGTGTTCAGGCACAATAAGGCTTAATAAGGCTGAATACCCTTCAAGCTGCTTGCTGCACAGGGTTGGCGCTTTTTCATTTGGGGGGGCGGGGGGGGGGGGGGGGCTAGCTTCCCACTACCTGAAGATGCCACATGCTCATGTGCTCATGAAAGCGGCGTGACAGGGTGCTCCCTCAACAAATTTCAGTCCTCCAACTCAGCCAAACTCATCGACTCTGAATCAACAATGCATCAGAAACAAACGCTGTCCTCGTTGGTGTCGGGCACAGCTGACTCCGCAGTCTGCTCCAAAGTCGGCGCTGGCTCCACAATCGGTGTGGGCTCCGCTGTCTTAGCTGGCTCCTGCGTGTGGACGCTTGCTTGTTCGGCCCACAAGTGGAAAATCGCTTCAAACTCTGCACCCTGGCATTGCCAGTCTCCCACACCCTGGTTGCAGGCTCCTCCACTTCGGCCACAGCTAAGTCGCCCGAAATGTCAAGCGCCGACTCCGCAGCGTTCAGCTCCGCCTGCACAGCATTCGAGGCTTGAACCGAAGCAGCTTCGCTGTGGTTGCAAACCCCTACCCGAGTTTCTCAGTGGATCGTTGTGTTGCCAGCAAAACTTGCAAATCATGGATATCAGAAGAAGCCCTGCTACGCAACTAACTAAAATGCCACATGCTCATGAGGGCAGTTTGACAGGGTGCTCCCTCAGCCAATGTCAGTCCTCCAACTCAGCCAAACACATCGACTCTGAATCAACAATGCATCAGAAACAAACGCTGTCCTCGTTGGTGTCGGGCGCAGCTGGCTCCGCAGTCGCCGCTGCTTCCACAGTCGGCGCTGGCTCCACAGTTGCCGCAGGCTCCGCAGTCGGAGCTGACTCCTTCGTGCTGAAGCTTTCTTGTTCGGCACATCTCAAGTCTGACCATCCCCGGTGAAGAGTTGCTTGAAACGCTACACACTGTAGATTAAGCATTGCCAGACTCCCACACCATAGGCTCCTCCACTTCGGCCACTGCTGAGTCGCCCGGAATGTCAAGCGCCGACTCTGCCTGCACCTGCGCAGCGTCCGGCTCCGCCTGCACAGTATTCGAGGCTTGAACTGAAGCAGCTTCGCTGTGGTTGCAAACCCCTACCGTCAGTGGATCGTTGTGTTGCCAGCAAAATTTGCAAATCATGGATATCAGAAGAAACCCTGCTACGCAACCAACTAAAATGCCACATGCTCATGAGGGCAGTGTGACAGGGTGCTCCCTCAGCCAATGTCAGTCCTCCAACTCAGCCAAACACATCGGCTCTGAATCAACAATGCATCAGAAACAAACGCTGTCCTCGTTGGTGTCGGGCACAGCTGGCTCCGCAGTCGCCGCTGCTTCCACAGTCGGCGCTGGCTCCACAGTTGCCGCAGGCTCCGCAGTCGGAGCTGACTCCTTCGTGCTGAAGCTTTCTTGTTCGGCACATCTCAAGTCTGACCATCCCCGGTGAAGAGTTGCTTGAAACGCTACACACTGTACATTAAGCACTGCCAGACTCCCACACCATCCTTCCAGGCTCCTCCACTTCGGCCACTGCTGAGTCGCCCGGAATGTCAAGCGCCGACTCTGCCAGCACCTGCACAGCGTCCGGCTCCGCCTGCACAGTATTCGAGGCTTGAACCGAAGCAGCTTCGCTGTGGTTGCAAACCCCTACCCGAGTTTCTGAGTGGATCGTTGTGTTGCCAGCAACACTTGCAAATCATGCATATCAGAAGAAGCCCTGCTACGCAACTAACTAAAATGCCACATGTTTATAAGGGCAGTGTGACAGGGTGCTCCCTCAGCCAATGTCAGTCCTCCAACTCAGCCAACCACATCGACTCTGAATCAACAATGCATCAGAAACAAACGCTGTCCTCGTTGGTGTCGGGCACAGCTGGCTCCGCAGTCGCCGCTGCTTCCACAGTCGGCGCTGGCTCCACAGTTGCCGCAGGCTCCGCAGTCGGAGCTGACTCCTTCGTGCTGAGACTTTCTTGTGCGGCACATCTCAAGTCTGACCATCCCCGGTGAAGAGTTGCTTGAAACGCTACACACTGTAGATTAAGCATTGCCAGACTCCCACACCATCCTTCCAGGCTCCTCCACTTCGGCCACTGCTGAGTCGCCCGGAATGTCAAGCGCCGACTCTGCCTGCACCTGCGCAGCGTCCGGCTCCGCCTGCACAGTATTCGAGGCTTGAACCGAAGCAGCTTCGCTGTGGTTGCAAACCCCTACCCGAATTTCTCAGTGGATCGTTGTGTTGCCAGCAAAATTTGCAAATCATGGATATCAGAAGAAACCCTGCTACGCAAACAAACTAAAATGCCACATGCTCATGAGGGCAGTTTGACAGGGTGCTCCCTCAGCCAATGTCAGTCCTCCAACTCAGCCAAACACATCGACTCTGAATCAACAATGCATCAGAAACAAACGCTGTCCTCGTTGGTGTCGGGCACAGCTGGCTCCGCAGTCGCCGCTGCTTCCACAGTCGGCGCTGGCTCCACAGTTGCCACAGGCTCCGCAGTCGGAGCTGACTCCTTCGTGCTGAAGCTTTCTTGTTCGGCACATCTCAAGTCTGACCATCCCCGGTGAAGAGTTGCTTGAAACGCTACACACTGTAGATTAAACATTGCCAGACTCCCACACCATAGGCTCCTCCACTTCGGCCACTGCTGAGTCGCCCGGAATGTCAAGCGCCGACTCTGCCTGCACCTGCGCAGCGTCCGGCTCCGCCTGCACAGTATTCGAGGCTTGAACCGAAGCAGCTTCGCTGTGGTTGCAAACCCCTACCCGAGTTTCTCAGTGGATCGTTGTGTTGCCAGCAAAACTTGACAAATAATGGATATCAGAAGAAACCCTGCAACGCAACTAACTAAAATACCACATGCTCATGAGGGCAGTTTGAAAGGGTGCTCCCTCAGCCAATGTCAGTCCTCCAACTCAGCCAAACACATCGACTCTGAATCAACAATGCATCAGAAACAAACGCTGTCCTCGTTGGTGTCGGGCACAGCTGGCTCCGCAGTCGCCGCTGCTTCCACAGTCGGCGCTGGCTCCACAGTTGCCGCAGGCTCCGCAGTCGGAGCTGACTCCTTCGTGCTGAAGCTTTCTTGTTCGGTCCATCTCAAGTCTGACCATCCCCGGTGAAGAGTTGCTTGAAACGCTACACACTGTAGATTAAGCATTGCCAGACTCCCACACCATAGGCTCCTCCACTTCGGCCACTGCTGAGTCGCCCGGAATGTCAAGCGCCGACTCTGCCTGCACCTGCGCAGCGTCCGGCTCCGCCTGCACAGTATTCGAGGCTTGAACCGAAGCAGCTTCGCTGTGGTTGCAAGCCCCTACCCGAGTTTCTGAGTGGATCGTTGTGTTGCCAGCAAAACTTGCAAATCATGGATATCAGAAGAAGCCCTGCTACGCAACTAACTAAAATGCCACATGCTCATGAGGGCAGTTTGACAGGGTGCTCCCTCAGCCAATGTCAGTCCTCCAACTCAGCCAAACACATCGACTCTGAATCAACAATGCATCAGAAACAAACGCTGTCCTCGTTGGTGTCGGGCACAGCTGGCTCCGCAGTCGCCGCTGCTTCCACAGTCGGCGCTGGCTCCACAGTTGCCGCGGGCTCCGCAGTCGGAGCTGACTCCTTCGTGCTGAAGCTTTCTTGCTCGACCCATTTCAAGTCTGACCATGCCCGGTGAAGAATCGCTTGAAACGCTACACAGTGTACATCAAGCATTGCCAAACTCCCGCAGAGTTGGGTTAGGCTTTAGTGTTGGTTTAGGTTGATTGAGGGGTGGTTTGGGGTGGTTTGGGGTGGTTTGGGGTGGTTTGGGGTGGTTTGGGGTGGTTTGGGGTGGTTTGGGGTGGTTTGGGGTGGTTTGGGGTGGTTTGCGGTGGTTTAAGATTGTACAGGGCTTGCTTGGGCTGCTAGTGGTTCGGCTAGGGTGACCATAGCACCCTAAACCATTGTTTAACAAAAAAAAAACGCAACCAACCCTAAAAAAAGCCCTAAACCCACACTAAACCAGCAAACAAAAACACCCCTAAACCAGCTCCAAACGAACCCTAAAGAAACGGTTTCTTGGCAAACCCTATGCCAACCGGTGAGTTTAGGGCGGGTTTTGGCTTGGCTTCGAACATAGCAACTAAGTGAAATTACACAACTGAAGTGCCCTTCGCCAGCATCGATCATGGCTGCCAGCATGGAGCATGGGGCCACAATACTCTGCGTGTCATGCACAAATCAAGTTTGAGTCCCCAAACTTTGCCACATGCTCGTAGTGGTGTGTTGACAGAGGGCTCCTTCAACGAATCCGAGCCCAACTCGGCCAAAAGACATCGGCTCGCAATCCAAGCGGTGCATCAGAAACCGCTGCCGTCCTCGTTGGTGTCGGGCGCAGATGGCTCAGCTGGCGCTGAGTCAGTCGGCGCCGGCTCCTTCGCGCTGACGCTCGCTTGTTGGGCTCTCAACATTGGGAAGCGTTTAGGGGTTAGGGCTTCGGGTTTGAGGATTTAAGGGTTTAAGGGTTTAAGGGTTTAATTGGTCGGAACTGGGTCAGAAACAATCCTCACTGACGACATTGGCATCTTTGTCTGCCAATCCCAAGGCTGTATCTACTTGGTTGCTGTTGATCCTCTGCGAAAAGCTGAACTTTTTGTGGGTTCAATGAAAAATCCACTGTTTCAACCAAATAGTTGAAGTCCCAAAATCCAACCAAATATTCAAATAGTCATCAAGTGTGTCTGAACATTTGCAGAGCCATGTCCAGCCATGTCCAAGCAGGTGGGTGTTGCAGAAACACACACACACACACACACACACGTCCACTGTCTCACAAAAGTTGAGATCCAACCAAATAGCCATAAAGCTTAAAGCTCTAAGCATTGCTACTTGACTCCAAGTCCCATCCTCCACTGCCCCTTTGCCCGAAACCTGCGCCGACTCGTTCGGAGCCGGCGCAGCATCCGGCTCCGCCTGCGCATCTGGCTCCGTTTGGCTTGCGGCATGGGTTTGTCCCAAACGCATGGCCATACACAAAAAAAAAAAAGAAACAAGACGGGACCTGCCAGGCCGTCACGTTGCCTGACACTGCACGTTTGCAGTAATTAGCCCAACACTTCAGGTTTTGCATCACGGTTCATGAAGTGGGGTGACCTCGCAACATCTTCGATGACCGTGCTCCTTTTTCTTGTTCTGGCTCCCAGCTTTACCGTCAGAGCTGACTTGAACTCAGACTAGGGCTCAGTAGGACTCGGAGTCTCCGAACACTCATTTCAACAACGCCTGAGCCATATGCATAATTAGGCCCTTGTTGGGATTGGGTTAAAGGGAAACTGGGAAGCCAGGCAGTTTGGCATTTCTTTGATTGGAGACAAAACGAAACCCAATCGGTCTTGGTTGGAGTATGTAGCTTTTCTTGAAGCCAAAAGGAAAGACACCCAAATTCGGGAGGGGTGGGGGTCCCTACTTCACCAGACATCTTGGTTTCAGGCAATCCCACTTTCTCTGATATCAAAGGGGCTCCCAGTCAAAGTGATGAAATGATAGAAACCCCACTTTGGTGTCAGAAGACATGTGTATTTTCCAAAACCATATTAACCTCGGATGGCGAGCAAGAAAACAAACCAGTGCCTCTTGACGTACGCCCCAACCAAATATGTCCTTTTAATATTTTGCCCTGGGGGGGGGGGGGTACTCCCCGACAGTTTCACATGGAAGACCTCTCTGTTCTGCCTGGAGCATTCTTTACATTGCGTTTGTTGTGCTTTTCCGCCGCTTAGCTGCTTGCACAGCAGAAAGCATCTGGCGCGCTGTGTCACCCATCATCCGCCCTGCAACGTCCATTGATGTCTTCAGGCATAGTAAATTCAGAGTTCTGCATGGTAGAAACTGTTTTTTTGTCTGAGTATGCCTAGGTTGAGTTCAAGCGGGCAGTCTAGGGGCTGAGTTCCAAACATTGACCCCGGGAGGTTCTGCAAACAGGGCGACCTTCAGGTCGCCGGCCAACCGAACTTGCAGCCAACAACATTGTACTCTGCAGAAAAACCATGGAACCCCAAAAATAGGTCCATGTCTCAAAACGAGAGTCTTCTGGAAACGGTGCAACTGCCCGAAAAGTGGGACCCGAAAATCCCTCTGAAATGGGGCACCTGCTGTACAATCAACTAGGGGTTTTGTTACTCCTGATGTCTCCCGGAGTTTAAGCCGTTGATAAATCTTGCCAAAACTGGTGTGTCTCCCATCTACACCAACCTCTTTGTTCAACTCGAGGACCAAAAAAGAACAGCTGCCATGTGCCCTATTCATCAACTGTGTGTTGCTTCCTCTAGAAATTACCTTTTGGGGCCATGACCAAAACAATCCCGAGAGGATGTCGCCTACTCTTAACAGTGGTCAAAAACTCGGAAACAACGAGGGTTGGAGAACCCAAACAAAAGAAAGAGGCCGTCAGCGCTGAGTCGCCCGGCTGCCTGGAGCTTCAGCTTCCTCTGCCTCAGCCCTGCCAGCCTTGCCAGCCGCGCCTCCGCGGCCCGGCGCCGCTCCTGGCAGTGGCTGTGACTTTGAGGCTGGAAGCCCCGTTCAAGGCTTGGTTTAAACGGGGAGTTGGGGTTAAAGTTGGCTCCTTTTGATGTTGAGTTAGTCGGACCCCGTCCATGGGTGCGGCGAGCAATCGGCACCTCGTCCCAGTCGTGAAAGAATGAATCAAGGAGAGAAAAACAAGCAGAGCCGAACTGTGACTCAGCTCCTTGCCTCCTCACCTTCTTGTAGCATCCTAGAAATACTGCCTTCAATCAAACGAGTATGTGATCGTCATGGTTCCGTAGGATGGTTGCCTAAATCCTATTCAAGAGCGTTGATAACTGTCTATGGTTTCCCCCAAAGACCCGAACTGACGGCTGAAAGCCGCCGCGCGCTAAGGGTATGAAGCTCAGGGTGATGGCTTCCTCAAAACGGACTGAAAGGCAAGGTCTTCCCCGGCCAGAAAAAGGAAAGCCCCTGCGGCATGTCGATCATGTACAGCATGGGAGCCACCCATGCAAAGTTTCACATCTCCACAAATGTCAATAAGCAGAATTGCTACATCTCATTGCGGTTTTCACCTTTGGTTTCATCCAGAACCGGCTCAAATCCTTCGACCAAACCAAACCCTCAGCCTGGATTGAGCACCACCAAATCTCCAGGCGCTGCTGTGACCCTCTCGCCACCCAAACCCATCTGAGGCGAGGGGGGGGGGGGAAACGAGTCGCGCGGCCTCCTCCCCGACCTCTGGCTTCTCCATCTCCTGTTTCTTCTTCTCCTGCTCCTGAACGCTTCTCACGGACACGATTTAGGTGCTTGTTTTCCGGTGGAGAGTACCGGGGTGACCCAAAAAAGCCGGCGCTGCTTGAAGATGCATCTCTGGGGTTGCGCAAAGGGGAACTCGTGGGAGCTTGGAAGGCCCTGGAAAGAGATGGACGGTGGGAGAGTGTCGGTTTTCAAAGGTACGCTTTTGTCTAAGGGGAACTCAAAGGAACAAGCCTATTTGGGAGAAAACATCAAAACCTGGTTCCAAAATGGTGAACCCAAGACCATGTATGAAGACTTTCCGAGGCGACACCCATTTATGCTTGGGACTGGTCTCTTGCCTAACCTCCAACTTGCCCAGCACAGCGTCAGCACATTCTCTCACACGCACAGACACACACAAAGAGGTTGCCTTTTTTGAGGGTACCCCTTTCATTGGTAGCTTTGAAAGGGAAACCACAAGAAAAAACATAACTTTGGATTAGTCTCCTGAGAAGCAGGATTCAGCCAATGGCCCATTCATGCTGGTCAGACTTTCCATTGACTCACCCACCGGTCAGCATAAGTCTAATCCTTCTGCTTCCGCGCTGAGATCATGAAGTCATCCACCTCGTCTGAGTCCTACGGCTGCAAGCCACAGCGCCAAGAGAAATTTGTGGCAACCGCTAGCCATAAGCTTTCAAGCACACACACACACAAGCAAACACACACACACACACACACACACACACTTGTGGTAATTCCCCCTCTTTGATTTACGCTTCTGCTCTCCTATGCGTGTGCTCGCGGCTTGTTGATCTAGTTACAGTCGAGGGTACAGGATACACACACACACACACAAACACACACGCCCGCGCGCGCGCACGCACGCGCAAGCAAGCAAGCAAGCAAGCAAGCAAGCAAGCAAGCAAGCAAGCAAGCAGGCAGGCAGGCAGGCAGGCAGGCAGGCAGGCAGGCAGGCAGGCAGGCAGGCAGGCAGGCAGGCAGGCAGGCAGGCAGGCAGGCAGGAAAGCAAACAAGCAAACATATGTGCATATATGCATATGTATATATATATATATGTATATATATATATATGTATATATATATATATATGTATGTGTATATATATATATATTTATTTATATATGTGTATATATATATATATTTATACGCATACATGTATGTAACGTACACACACACACACACACACCCTCCAGTCTTCACACATGAGCAACAGCTCCGCACTTTCAGGTTGCAGTTCCTTTCCGGATGTCCCTACCCAAATCGCATCTCCGGTGCCCAACTCCGTGCCCTTCGGCCAGCCTCGTCGCTCTCGCCGTTGAACTTGATCTTCGCAAGCCTCACGAGACTGCACCGAGGTTCCTTTGGTTGCCTCAGCCCAAGCAAAAAACAGAAAACAAACCCACACACACACGCAGATCCAGTTACTAGGAGCTCTATTTTTTGAGCTGATGCCCTTTTGGAGGTTGGGGGAACGGGCAAAAACACATTTTGGGGGGTCCGCTTCCTAGTCTGGGGTGTGTTACAATTGGGAGCCGCCAGTACACCTCGGCCTCTGGGAGCTTCGTTTTCACCAAACATCATCCTCCGAAATCTATGAAGTGTTAGAAGAGCACCCATCGATCAGGGGAAGAGCTGGGAAAAGCTATATAAGGCTAAGAACTGTTCTGAAAAGCATCATTTGAATCAGCCACAGCTCTGAGGTTTGACCAACAAGCCCGGAGTGCGCCTCGACTTGGCGGTTGCTGCCACTTCCTCCCGCTTTTGCCTTGCCAACGCCATCAAGCGCTGCTTCTTCTCCTTCCGAAGCAAACAAGAATCGCTTTTGTGTTTTTGCGCGAATCAGTTGGTGAAAACACGGAGCGATTGCTGAAATCGTTGCGATTCCAATGCAATGCAGTTGGCCAAATCGCTCAAATCAGCGCCAGTTCCATAGAAAGGCTATGGGCCCAAGATAAGCCCTCAAGGCCTTATTATCGCCCATGTGCTTTTTCGTCCCCTGGAGAAGAATAAAAATTATGTCCAGTGATAGATGTCCTTTAAAACCAATGGTGGAAATC